GTTATGTTATTGTCGATGGAAAGCATGTTCCACCACAGCCAATTATAATTACATTAATTAGTGGGAATAAAAATAGCTTTTTTCAGCAACAAGAATTATCCAAACATATTATTAATAGTATGATAAACAGTGAAAGTTTTCGAAATGCATTAAGTTCAGAGCTTTCAACATCTAATAACTTATCTATATTGAATGACATAAAAGTACCCTTGATCAAGCATTTTATTTATAGACTGAAAAGATACAATCAAAGTTTTATGAGTAATACCAGATACTTTAATAATGAAAAAGGTAATACGAGTTTTGTCACAATATTAGAATTGGTTTATTTCTATTCGACTTTGCATAACAATAAGGCCACTGGTTTTTCAAGTGAGCCAGGGATTAAGAGACATAACAAAAAACTAACCTATTCTAAGTGGAAAATTTCTGGAAATATAGTAGTCGGATTCATGCTTTCTGATTCTACGTCTGAGTTTTACTGTTTATGTAACGGTGAAGTTACTTCTCAGGATTTGATAAGGCATAGTTTGAAAATAATCAAGTGGTGTGAAAAATATCATAGAAGAATATTTGTTGGAGATGGAGCTATTTTTTAAAATTATATGTATATTATGTAGAATTATTTAAGAATTGCTTGTTCAGCAGATTTAAACACGTCAGTTAACTTATCAGTATACTGTTTATGTAATTTTTCAAAGTCTTTGAATATTTTTTCTTCTGCATCACTTAACTTCTTCTTTTTATGCTGCTTTTGAAATTTATTTTTAACGTCACCTCTTATGGTGGCTAAAGATCCATTTGCTCTACCAGAACCATTCTTAAATCTTTCATACACTAATTTTAATTGTTTTGCATTTTCCTTCTTGCTTTCAGTTGTTAATGGAGGCAATGGAACCTTCAATGTTTGCTTATTTGATGGATCAACCTGGGGATTCATATTCAAATCAGATCCTAACACCGCATTAATGATTGACTTAACATTTGATGGGTCAAAAACTGTAATCATGAAATTTCTTCCTTTGACAGTAGTTTGTGCTACGGAAGTGAATCCAACTTCACCATCTGGAGTTTCTACCATCAACTTATCAAAAATATTTGGACTTGTTTTACCTAATTTTGCTTCATTTGCTTGTTTACTGAATCTCTCAATGACACCTTTGAACTTATTAGTTGCATCGTCAAAGTCTATTTCTGGTACTTGGTTGTCCGTATTATCTTCTTCTATTTCTTGAACTTCACTCTTGGTCTTGTTTCCACCTTTAGCCTTATTTTTTTTAGCCAAGATTGGCGAGATTTGAAAATTACGTATAGGAATGCATCTCAATACAATAATTGGTCTTTGACAAAGTGTCACAGCTCTGAAAGCTTGTGATCTAGTTAACAATCTAAGCATTTGTCGTTGAAAAGAAGTATCCTCTCCAGTCTTACGATCTTCTATCAATAAAAATCGCAGCTATGAAAAGCCTAGATTTCCTAATATAGTAATATATGTAATCATATCAAAAATATAACGTTATTAAAAAAATAGTCTATTTAGTCTCCGATTGTAACTGTTCCAACACCTTCATACATGAATGTGCTTCTCTACCAACTTCACCACCCTCCTTTATTAAATTCTTCAAATTCCTAAGCATTGGAGCCATGAAAACATCAAGCATAACTTTTCGTCTAGTATCTATATCCTCTGTTGAAATGGTATCCAAATCATTTAATGAAAATGCATTGTCATCTTTTTTGGCGTCTTGTTGTATGTCTGTATTTTTCTGTTTCGGAACTTCTTGAACGAATAATTTCAAAGATGCAAATGGTTGAGTGCTGGAAGGTAACAAATATTTGTACGATTCAGGATGAATCATCTTGATCTCTGAATAATCCAATTTCCTTTCGTTGCTACTTATTGGAAATAATGCAGCTGATAAAAATGCTCTTAAGATCGATAAATGATGAATACGTGCTTTCTTGCTTGGGCCTCCAATAGACGAACTAGTGGTGATGGCCAAGGAAACTGCTTTCTTATCATTAGTCAATGTCCACGACAATAATGCAAAGTACGACTTTAGTGTCTTGATAAAATATGAACGCACTAATGACTCCGTTGCATGGTCGATTAACACTGATAAAAATTTGGTCGAGCTATTTCTTATATCTGGTTTAATATGGCTCATTGCCAGATGTATAAAAAGAATAATAGATCTTATGTGTAAATCCAACAACCCAACCTGTTGTGTAGCACAGGCCGACAATAATGATGTCAAGGCATTCCGAACATTCTGTGACTGATCAATTATTAATGGAACAATACTGGTCAATATATCTTTGTAGAGCGATGGATTGGAAGGTAAATGTTGTTCAATATAATTCAAGACTTCCTTACGTGTAATATCAGAATGATGCTTTGTCAATGAAAGATGATGGGTCAAATCTACTTCATGTTTTTTCTCCGTATTGGATGTCTTTTTGTTAATGGTTTGATTCGGTATAGAAATGGATTTGGCGATGAACGAGGTATCGGTATGGTTATCTGGTTTAGCTGCTGTTTTACCAACTCTCAATTTCGGCTTAACGAAATCTTTCTGCTTCTCGGCCTTCTTTCTCTTAGATCCCATGTTGCTAATATATGTATGTATAGATTAAGCTTATTCTAATCTAAACTTATATTAGAACTGAAAAATTTAAATATGATGCCCAAGCCGCACTTAAAATTAAGTAAACACAAATATTACGATTGTTCCAAACAAATATTCAGTATATTCAAATACTATGGCAAAATGGCATCGCATGACTTTGATGGAAGCTTCTTACAATCATTGTCGATAGATGATACTAATTATGTAACGTCTCAAACTAAATATGAGGAAACTTACGATAACGATGATGATTACATGGAAATAGACAATACGCTTGATTTAGGTGGGCCATCATCGAATTATGACACACCACCGCCTGAGCATGGAAATGTAGATCGGTTGACACCTACGACGAGATTACAGGAATATATTGCGTCGCCATTCCAATCGACCCCTAAAAGTAAGGAAGAAGGCGTAAATTTAGGTGGTATGAAAAGCTTTTTCATGAGAAAGGAGGACGAGGATAACAGCAGCGTGGAAAACGATAGAGAGATGGTTGAGACGAAGAATTCTGGAAGTGATAATGATAATAACGACATTGAAGTTCAAGAAATTGAGGATGGACAAGAAATAGATCGGGATTATTCCAGAAATGACAGCGTAGTATCTTCTATTTCTCATTCCATATTATCACCAACAACACTAGGTGCCAAATTGGCGATCATGCCAAGACAAGAATTGCTACTTCCATCCGATATGGATAACCATGAGTCTATTGATTATGAAATCGATACAAATACCGATAATGAAAGCTATAGCACCAATTACGACACATTTGGCAATTACAGAAGTACGCCAGAATTAAAGCATAGAACCGGACAAAGGAACATGAGCTCTTTTAGCTCAAGTGATGCTAATGCATTTTTTGCCGATAAGTCAAACAGGAACAACGATATTGAAGAATACACCTACAACCCAATAAACGGGGGTTATGATTCAAATGATTCGAGAAGTACTATCAACAATTCCATGAACCAATCGTATATGTATAGGAAGAATATGAATAAATTCCCAGTTAATAACATTTTCAGCCCAACCAGCAGCTCGTGGACAACACCGGTACAGGTCCATCATCATCACTATTATAGTACTCCTATTAATCAATCCGCGACTCAGTTAGTAAGTCCAAGCCAAACTGAAATACTGAGCCAAATACAACTGCAAAGACAAGGGCAGTTGCAGCATCGAGATTCAGGCCGGATACAAGTCCTAGATCCGAACCAATCCTACAATCTCCATCCGCGAAACAGAGATATTAGTCTACCTTTGCCATGGGAAGCAAACTCTAGTCCGCTGGAAAAAGCTTCATACATATTATCTTCTTATTTGCAGCTAATTATAAATTTTGTTGCTACATGCTACGCGGGGTATTTGGTTTACTCCATCATTCAAACTGTTCGACAAGACATTAAACATAAGCTTTCTCAACAAATTTCAAACGTGTTAGTAGAGATCGAATCTTGCAAACGCTCATATAATGAGAATAACTGCTCTCCGGACCTGATTGTCCCTATACTAGAGAAGCCATGTGCGTACTGGTTAAAATGCATGAATCAAGACCCATATAATGGAGGCGGAAATAAGTCTCTGATAAGTGCGGAAACTGTGGGGATGATTATAAACTCCTTGATAGAACCGTTAAGTTTTAAGTTCTTTCTTGTGATGTTCGGTTTTGTATTGCTAATTTTCGCTTGCAATTTCACCTTTGGGTTTATAAGGGCAAAGAGTTATTATGGATGGAACAAAGAAAGAAACGGCGCTCAACCTGTTATTGAAAAATAGAGACCATCTGTCTGATATCTGCAAACATAATCCGGGTTTAGATCTATATATGGATTGCAACCGAACTTACAATTGCTCATATTCAATAAAAATAGAACTTGGTGCAGTTTCTTGCAGAACTATTTAGCCGAGGTTAAACTTTGACAGACCGAGGCTAATATTCTCCGAATAATGACTATAGCCGGTCTTTCGTTATGTTCAATTGAACGGGACTTTATTCAGTTACTTTTCTGTCTTGTAAACTTATCAATTGTACCTTGATGATTCTAATTCTGTATGTATATATACATTATATTATGTAAAGCGTATTATAGGAACAATTCTATTAATGAATATGTAGAATATATGTAGAAGCATATCGCGATAATCTCATCATAAAAAAAGTGAAAAAGTCCGGTTCGTACATATTTACAATAGTTATGTCCGCCCATCGGACTAAAGCCACTGACTAATCGAGGTCTAAACAAATGTATATATTCTTTGTTCCTGGCTGGAAATTATCTGAGTAGAAGAATTCGTTATATTTTAAGAAGACTAGCATACCTCATCATTGGTACTATAGAAAAAGTGCAATAAATTTTATACACAATGGGTATTTTTGGCACTTCGCAAGGTGAAGAACAGCAATTGAGAGACGCATCAAATGTTCAAGAGGCTATTCACGACCAAGCATCTTCAGCTAACCTCTCTGCATATGCGACTGCTGAAGAAGACTTAAACGAAACTGATGAAGAAGACGTTTCAAGCCAGGCTGGACGGGCTATTGATGGAAGAGTAGATGGACCTGACAGCTCAGATACAGATACCGGATCTTATATGAAAGAGGTATATGCGGATGAAAAGCCATCGGAGAAGTCATATCCTGATCCAGAATATAACATCAGCAACGAAAGACCTGAAGGAAAACAATGGGCGAATGATGGACAGAATGAAGAATCGTTGAAAGGAGCCGCATCTGAAAAATTAAATGACAAAGTTAACTCGTCAGATGAACCTATACACATTGAAAACTTAGACTGGGATTCACCCGATGATAAATCTAATCCTCAAAATTGGCCACAATGGAAAAAATGGTATATCACGTTTACCGTGGCGCTCATTTGCTTGTGTGTTTCATTAGGTAGTTCTTTATACGTTACGGGTATCCCAAGCTTAATGGTTGAATTCGGCGTATCACAGGAACTTTGTATCTCTGGTTTGACATTCTACTTAATTGGTTTAGCAGTTGGCCCTGCGATTGCTGCCCCAATGTCTGAAGTATTTGGTCGTCGTTGGATTTACTTCTTTTCATTACCAATTTCAATGTTATTCGCGATGGGAATTGGTTTATCAAAGAACATCCATTCGATTTTAATTTTAAGATTCTTCTGTGGTTTCTTTGCTTCGCCAGCCATGGCGGTCGCTGGAGGTTCTATTAGTGATATTTGGAGTTTCCAAGATATGGGCTTCGCTATGGCTATGTTCTGTTTAGCACCTTTCTTAGGTCCAGTTTTAGGTCCTATCATTGGTGGATTCGCAGCTGAACAGAAGGGATGGGAATGGACTATGTGGATTTACTTAATGGCTTCAGGCCTTATTCTTCCTTTTGTCTTACTCTTACCAGAAACATATAAGCCAATCATATTAGCACATAGAGCTAAGAAAAGGGGTGTTAATTTATACAAGCCCCCAGTAAATAAGCAATTTGTCAAAAATTTGGCTGTTAATAACTTATTACGTCCCATACAAATGTTAATCGTCGAACCTATCGTTTCCATTTTCACGATTTATATTGCTTTTGTTTTTGCAGTCTTATTCGGATTTTTCGAAGCTTACCCAATTATTTTCCAGGGTACCTATGGTATGAGCTTAGGGGTTTCCGGTTTACCTTTCCTTGGTGTTGGTATTGGTTTAATAGGTGGGGTTATATTTTTCATCATATTAGATAAGACAATCTACAATCCAAAAAATCCCGATGGCACTAGAGGTAAGAGAGACGAAAATGGTAATCTTATTTTTGGTCTTCCAGAAAAGAAATTGCTTTCTGGTAAGGTGGGAGCCATTTGTTTACCTATTGCATTATTCTGGTTAGCCTGGACTGGTAGAACCAAGTCAGTTCACTGGATGGCTCCAATTGCTGCTGGTGTTCCCTTTGGATTTGGGTTGATCTTGGTATTTTTTGCCGTCATTTACTATTTCTCAATGTCATATCCACCAGCTTCTCTTGCATCTGCATTAGCTGCAAATAACTTGGTGCGTTACTTGTTAGCATCTGTTTTCCCATTATTTACTGTTCAGATGTACGAAAGATTACATATCGATTGGGCTACTTCATTGTTTGCTTTCATTGCATTGGCCATGGTCCCTGTGCCTTTCATTTTCCAGAGATATGGTGCAAAATTAAGAGGTAGGTCCAAGTTCGGCTACGCCGCACTCTTTAGACGTATTGCCGAGCAAAAGGCTGCTGCTGCGCAAAAGGCTGAACCTGAAGCTGCTGCTCCTGCAACGGATGCTTCACATAATGTTTGATTGTGCATCATTATCAGTATAAATTTGCATTGTGATATTCTTCATCAAATTCCGAATATTTAATTAATAATAATAATAATACCAACATAGTAATATCTTAATATTACATAATAATAATAATAATAATAATAATAATAATAATAATAATAATAGTAATAGTAATAGTAATGGTAATGGTAATGGTAATAGTAATTTTATCCTAGTATCATTTATATCATTAATTTTTGAACCATAATCATGTAGTATATACACCTTTCAATAGAGGTAACCGTTGGTGTCTTGAAATTCTTTGTTTTTCTGGAGGACTTGTTATTCCATGACCAAAAGATAAAATCGATAGTATCGTATATATATGTCAAATACCTAAAATGTTAGTTCGCAACACATTTTCTCATTTCAGTAAAAACAATATTAATAATCAGCATCAAAGACCGCTTTCAAGTCTTTATCTCCGTATTATTTTTAAAATCTTCTATATTACTCTTATATTATAGTAGTCTTACTATAACATAAAAAATACACTCTTAGTTACACCAATATTGAGGTTGATTTTGGTTCTCGTTCTAAAATCATTTACATTAAACTGAGAGCAGGATCCGCTTAATAATATATCAAAGTTTATTCAGACTCTACAGCATAAAAAACAAGGTTTATAAGATCCGAGTTGATTTGTAAGCTTTGGATCAATATATAAAGTATCAAATTAGCCTTTCACAGAATGAGAGACTATGAAATATCAGTAAGTTGAGATTATTCGGTGAAATTAATTTCAATGGGCGTATCCAATACCTCTGACAGGGTATTAGGTACCGCGGATCCTGATTTTATGTATAGTGAAGACCAGGAACCGAAAGATATTTTAATCCCTGGATCTGCATTCCTTCCTCGAGATGTAGAAAACTATAGTGGATCTAATATTGATCTAACAACTGAAAACTGGGAAGGTTTGAAAAATAAGGGTTCCTTGGTTTCATACGAGTTTATTAATATGGATAATGATGGTCCAATATCTCAGGATCAGTCTTCCAATGAGAACTATACTAATGATGACTGTAATGTATCTTCTGGTCGTTCATCTTCAGAATATAATCAAGTTGATGCTGGTTATGGTGCAGTGGATGTTAATAAGCTAGATTGGGATTCGTTAGACGATAAGGATAACCCACAAAATTGGTCAAAATGGAAAAAGTTGTATGTTACATATTCTGTTGCACTCATATGCCTATGTGTTACCCTTGGTAGCTCATTATATGTTGCTGGTGTGCCAGAATTGGTGAGAGCGTTTGGAGCTTCGAAAGTGCTTTGTATTTCTGGTTTAACGTTCTATTTACTAGGGTTGGCGTTCGGCCCTGCAGTGGCTGCACCATTATCTGAAATCATTGGTCGCCGATGGATATATGTATTCTCGTTACCAATTTCCATGTTATTTACGATGGGTATCGGCTTATGCCGAAATATCTATTCTATTCTTATTTTAAGATTTTTCTGTGGATTCATCGCTTCGCCTGCATTAGCTGTTGCAGGTGGGTCAATTAGTGATCTTTGGGATCCATCGGAAATTGGAACTGCCATGGCTACTTTCTGTTTAGCCCCTTTCCTTGGTCCAGTTTTAGGACCCATGATCGGTGGTTTTGCGGCTGAACATAAAGGTTGGAGGTGGACAATGTGGGTTTCCTTAATGATTTCTGGTGCAGTTCTTCCGTTCTCGATGTTTCTTCCAGAGACGTATAAACCCATAATCTTGGTCAAAAGAGCAGAAAAGAGAGGTATAAAGTTGAATAAACAACCAATTGACAAGCTATACTTTAAAGAAATGGCGAAAGTCACGTTGTTGCGTCCAGTGGAGATGTTGATTGTGGAACCAATTGTCAGTGTCTTTTCCATCTACGTTTCGTTCATCTTTGCTGTATTGTTTGGGTTTTTCGAAGCATATCCAGTTATCTTTCAAGGTGTATACCATATGGATCTAGGCGTTTCAGGACTACCCTTTATTGGATCAGGTGTCGGACTACTTATAGGTGTCATCTTTTTTATCTTAATGGACAAGTTCGTTTATAACCCTAGAAACCAAGATGGCACCCGAGGTAGGAGAGACGAGAATGGGAAATTGATTCTATCTGCTCCAGAAACAAAACTACTACCAGCAAAGATCGGTGCGTTTTGCCTCCCAATATCGCTTTTCTGGCTAGGCTGGACAGGTAGAACCGGCTCCATCCACTGGATGGCTCCTGTTGCTGCCGGAGTCCCATTTGGGTTTGGCTTGATCACCATTTTCATTTCAGTGATCTTCTACTTCTCAATGGCGTTCCCTCCTATTTCGGTTGCATCCGCGATTGCTGCAAATAACCTATTGCGCTATATAATGGCATCTGTCTTCCCACTATTTGTGACCCAAATGTACCATAAGCTCAACATTGGTTGGGCCTCGTCGTTATTCGGTTTTGTTGCGTTAGTTATGGTTCCTGTTCCCTTCCTCTTCGAAAAATATGGTGCCAGGTTGAGAACTCAATCCAAATACGGATATGCTGCACATGCTGCCAAAATGGCTCCAAATAATCAGCTGCCCCAAGCTGAACCCGAAAAAAGTGAAAGCCTGGACTCGTATGACGATGGCGTTGTATATAAGGTTTAATAGCTGCTATCTTTATTTGTTTTTTGACTCCCACTCTAGATTTCTATATCCTTTCATATGTTATTACTATTACACTTCTCCGTATTGGTCAAATTTGTTACATACACAATATAATATAATATATGAATATACTATTTCCTATTAACTCTGAAGTCTAACACCGCATCTACTATTAGAGGTCTCGCTATTGAATTGCCGTATATAACACTATTAGTGTGATCCTTCTAATAGATCGTACTACTTCGGAAAGAACAGCTCTATAAAGTAAGTGAGAGCGTTCTCCATCTTATCGCGAAAACCCCGTTTAGTATAAATAGCGCCGCATTTCACCATATAATTTTTTTATTCTTCTTCAATCGAAGGTTTCAAATTAGTGTTAATATACTGCTTATAGATATCATATTGGTAATATCGATTGAAACATGTCACCAACTTCAGTAGAGAAAACCGCTGAAACAGCGGGAAAAAGTTATGCCATGGGTGAGGAAGGGTCCCACAACTTGGCTAAAGGAATGGAACATCCACATAAGCTACCTAAATTTGAAAATCCATACGATAAGAGAAAATGGATGTTGGAACATATGGCAGGAGCATTCCGAGTATTTGGACGTAAAGGGTATTCGGAAGGGTCGGCTGGACATATTTCACTTAAGGACCCAGTTACCCCCGGTACGTTTTGGATTAATCCATTGAATAAGCACTTTTCGTTAATGAAGGCGAGTGATTTGGTGCACATTGACTTGGAGTGTAATGTTTTGGAGGACGGGAACCAGGCGGCGGTCAATGCAGCGGGGTTTTCGATCCATGCGGCCATCCATAAAGCTCGTCCAGATATAGTTTCGGCTTGCCACACGCACCTGATTCATGGCAAGACATACCTGACTTTTGGAAAGAAGTTGGAAATGATCAACCAGGATGTATGTATTTTCTATGAGAGACACTCTGTTTTCACTAACTTCGGGGGAGTGGCTCTAGACGAAAGAGAAGGAGAAGAGATCGCAGAAGCGCTTGGATCCGATGGACTTGGTGTCATTTTGCAGAATCACGGGCTTCTCACCGTTGGTAAGACTGTTGACGAGGCAGCATTTCTTTTCAACTTGATGGAAGACTCTTGCCACGCACAGTTATTAGTGGATGCTGCAAGTGCTGGAGGTTACAAGAAGCAGTTTATCAATGACGAGGTTGCTACGTATACACGCCATATGACTGGTGACCCCGAATCATTATATGCTGAATTTCAGCCTGATTTTGAATTGGAACTTGAGTTGACTAATTCTGCTTTCCTCAAGTAATAATGGGTATCTATACAATGCTATCTCAAGTATTGCTACTAATACTATATGCAAATAAGGGTATGCGCTAGCAAAGTTTTCTTTCTGGTATTGATTGTTGCTGGGTTATTATTATCTTTTTTAGTTCTGTTTAAATTACATAGGTTTGGTTTAATCAATGACAGATTTCGCATATTATATTTTTAAAATAATAACACATGCTATTTTGTTATAATTATATACATACATATCTATATACATGTATATGACAATGCTTTGATCTAACTCTCGTTCTTTTCTTTATGCAATTTTCTTATCCCTTTGGCCCACATCTTGACATCTTTATCGTAAAGTCCCTTCTCAACTCCCGCTAGAAATCCTTGAGGTTCATTTAATAAATCCCATGGAGATTTTCTCAAATTGTCATCCTTTATTAGACAAGAATCGATAAATTTACATAATAGATCATCGAAAGGTTGATTTGTTGCAGTGTTGATCTTATTGGCTAAGGAAGGAGGCGCCTCGTTGACGATTCTTTGTAACAAATCTAATATACCCTCTGGGCCTTGAGGACCTTCCTCCTCACCGTCATCTACCCAAACGGGGATTCCCCTTGCTAATTCGATCAACATTAAACCCATAGACCAAACATCTGATTTTACACCATAAGTCAAACCTTGTATTCTCTCTGGTGACATATATGTTGATGTCCCCACAAAAGTATCCGCCATCGCGAGTGAATTAGTCAATTCTCTCAGGACACCGAAATCACATAATTTAAATTCACCTTTATGATTCATTAGGACATTGCTTGGTTTAATATCTCGATGGATGATTTTATGCGTAGAATATAAATAAGTTAAGCCCGATAGAATTGCATGGGACAATTTTTTTAATACGAACAAGGGAAACTGATTATTCTGACAAAGTGGTAAGATTTTATCCAAAGACCCACAATTACAGTATTCCATGCAAATCACTATCGTATTGTTATTATTAATAAAAGCTCCATAAAATTCAATAATAAATGGAGATTGGCATTCGTGCAATATCCTTAACTCCCTTATTATCTGAGTCTGAATGACACTTTTCAGATCGATGTGTATTATCTTTTTGGCCATTGTCTTCTGTGTTGGGATATGAAGGATCTTCGATACCGTCCCTGAGTTCCCAGAACCCAAATTTTTCAACGTCAACAAGTCATTATTATTCAATTTTATCGAGGATGTCGTCGCGATGGGCGATTGTTGGTCTGCTAAGTTTAAAGAATTCAAATTTGCATCGTTCGGAGAGGATGCACTAGACTTCGTTGGAGATATAGAGGAAATGACTGTTTGTCTTTTTCTGTTCGCAATCGAAGGATTCCTCTTATTCATATTTGATAACTCAAGATTCGAAAAATGGTTCATAATAACATCCGTAGACGACTGTGTATCTGGGTCCATATTTCTATTACTTTGATTGATGTTTAATTTACCCTGTGAGTTCCTGTTTAAATTCATCAATGGTGCTGGTCTAATTCTACCCGCCTTAGAGCTAGGTGGGTATCGTAATCCCATGTCGATTGACGTATTTTCTGGTTGTGATGCTGATGGTGTAGATGTTGTAGATGGTGAGTCTAACGACAATTTCTTGAAATTCTTACGTTTCAACGTCTTAGATTGTAATATCAGATCATCATTTGGTATAATATTGGTGGTTTCTGCTTCATTTTCCTGTGAATTCGGAATTGGGGGTAACTTCTTGTCTTTGTTTGATCCTATTGAAGTCAGCGAATCATTATTCAATCGCATCATTTTGAAGCCAAATTATTATGTCTTCTAATTATGATCGATAATTGCTAAACGATACGACTAAAAATCCCCTGTCAAACTTGCAAAATGAAATGATAGTGAATGTACTTCTTAAGTCTATCACTATTCCTTTTGATGGAATAAATTACACTTAGATCCGCACTACATAGTATTCTCGAAGATTATTTATATACACAACAAATAAATAAGCTTGCTTCAATATTGATACAATTAGAAATATACTGAAATAAATAAATAGATAAACCTAGTAATACAATCGTAGTCATCATAAGACAATCAACTTAAAAAAAACAATTTTTTAATTTCCGTTCCCAGAGGGCATATGAGGTTGATGGGCAACAGCTGCGGCCATAGCATTTTGAAACTCGACTGCTGCTCTGTTAGCTTCTTGTTGGTGATGTTGTTGCGAGTATTGTTGCAGTTGTTGTTGAAGTTGGTTTTGATGTTGCTGCTGTTGTAACTGTTGGTTCTGTTGATGATGTTGTTGATGTTGTTGTTGTTGCAGGTGTTGTTGATTTTGGACCTGAGCCTGAGCCTGGGCTTGGGCCATTGCTTGGTTAAAAGCCTGCTGCTGAGCGATAGCTTGGTTGTATTGTTGTTGGGCTTGTACCTGGGCTTGGGTTTGGGCTTGACTTTGCGTTGGCACCTGGACGTATTGCTGAGGGTTGTACTGTTGGGATATTGGATGTTGTGTTTGGGGAACAAAATTACCCGTATTCGATAACATCGCCATAGTAGCTTGATCGTTAGGCATCATAGCAACATTATTGTTAATAAGAGGGATTTCGGTCGAGGTTTCGCTGTTGTTTGATCTTTTCTTTCTGGTACGACAATTGACGCACACCTTATGTTTACCAATGTCGGCAGGTTCCAACGACTTAGCACATCTATTACAATGGCCTCGCCTCTCCAAATTGGTTCTTCTGATTTTATCGTTTTCTCTACACCGCTGGCAAACCTTGAAATTCCCAGATTTAACTCTATCCTTCAACTTAGCGGACTTATCATCACCGGTGATGATTGAAGCATCTAGAGGACCCGAACAATGCACACATTTCCCTTGCGCCGCTCGATTAGCTTTCCTGGTTCTCAAGTTCTCTCGACATGACGGACATAAAACAAATTTCTGCTGGTCAGCCGGAATTTCCAGTCCACACCGACGGCATGCACCCGATTTGTCCTTTGTCTTCTTTTGCCAACGACGAGATCGTTTCCGTTGTAAATCTCGACAATGCTGACAGAGCTTGTAGATCTTAGGCTCTGCCAACGGCTTAGGACCTTGTGTATTATCATTTGATTGCGGTATTATAATTGGTTGGTCAAACTCTTTTTTGCACCTAGTGCATGACGATCTTAGCATCTGCTCCACGGTACCTGCCTCTAACTGGACGCTAGGCTTGACCGGCGACTCATCAATATTCTGATTATTCACGATCTGTTGTTGGATATGCAATGGTGGAATGGGTGCCATCAACTTGCCGTCCTCCATTTCTTGTTGTTGTACCGGTAACTGCGACATCTGCGGCATATGGAGATTGCTCTGCAAATTCCCTTGCATCTGACTGTTTGCTAGTTGGTTTCCTGACATTTGCGAGTTCGATAACTGGCCACTTGGTATCAGGCCCGTCTGCATCTGGTTATTTGGTATACTGTTGCTTGGTATTTGGCCACCCTGCATGCCGTTTAGCAGGTACTGCCCTGGATAGCTTGCATCGTGATTCAACATCGCCTGTGCCGTCGCAATAGCTGGGTTCGATGGGTTCGACAATTCGAACGCCTCGTTCTTCACCTCTCGTCCGTCTTCACCACTATTACTGTCCCCATGGCCTCCTATTCTGTGATTGCTGCCATCTCCACCACTCGGTCCCGCATGTCCCACGGCCATGTTAGCACTAACCCTTCCGCTGTTCTCTCCCGTATCATTACTACTACCACTCACCATACCACCGTTATTATTGCCCACATTATTATTTATCATCCTACCCTGTTGTATGTTATTATGCAACTGGGGATCCAACAGTGAATCAACACTCAAAAACTGTTGCTCCATACTATTATATATATTTCATTCACGTATATAGACGCTAATATTTTTGCAATTCTATCTTCTGGTTATGAACTTGAACTTACGGTTATGGTCGTTTATTTTGTTTCATATAAACTACCTATATATGACTAGAAAATTCCATAAAAGAGGTTCTCGAGTTTGTTTTTATATAAATAATTATTGGTAACTGGTGCACGACATCACAGCAACATTGCCACTCTAACAATACGATATCGTACACCATATATTAGGGTGTCATAGGTAGGAATGGGCGAATAATGAGATGCTAGTATCGCGTAAGGTGTTTTACGTGAATTGTAGGTCAATAAAGGGATCTTAGATGAAGGTTTTGCATTATTTAGCAATGGAGCGACCGAGCGATGGGGACATAAATATATATGTCCGGGATTTGGGACGTAAATATTAGGGAAGCTAGTAGAATAACCAGCGATATAGCGGCGTATGAGATGGAATTGGTGTATATATATGTAGACGCAACATGGATATAGGTGTGGAGGTGATTGGAGGAAGCTTTCATGACATTTGGGATCCGAATATTCCACTGGATCAGTTCCGTTTACGGTTCCACACCATAAGGCCCACTTCGCCTGCCCTGTAGGCTCCGAGACCTATCAACAAGATACCAAGCGACTTGACCGAGTTCTGCCACCAGATGGGGTTCTTGTGGAGGTTGATTTTTCCCTTCAGGTCCTTGAAAAGCGAGTTCAGATTGAGGTAAAGACCACCTGCGAACGACATGAGCGACTGGATGGCCGTGCATGGCAAGCACGACTCATCTGGGATGTCCCTGGCGGGTGGGGGGTTGAATACTGATAGTATGTTGGACATATTGATGCTTTTAGGGTGGTACTGATGGCGTAGGATGTAAGATGAAGCGAAAAAGTAGCAAAATGGGTCGAGGTTGGGACGAATACAGTCGCACCAATATGAAAAATATCAAGAACTAGTGGTTTTGCTCTTGCCATTATTAGACAAACATGAATAGAGTGAACGGCAGATTGTTAAGAACTAGGATTCCTCGGGGTTTTCGTCGCTATAGTCAATACAACTACCAGTATCAGCAGTACCAGCAATATCAACCTCCAAAGACATCATGGACCAAGCGTATTTTATATACGGGGATTGGACTCGCCGGATTTGGATCGTACGTTTATTACTTCTGGTGGCCTAAGCATACATTCCCATCTTCAGTAGCCAAGATATTGCGTAAGGGATTGTGGGCTGAATCCGATAGGGGAGAAAACGATTACCAATTGGCATTGAAATACTATCTCGAAGCCATCGACCATTGTCACGAAATAGAGGTGGATCCATTGAGTGACGAATACACGGGGATTCAGTTGAAAGTAGGGGAAATGTTTGAACGGTTGGACATGTTGGAGGATGCAGCATTTGTCTACAATGAGATTGCGACCCTCTATTTGAAGGTATTGACAGCAACCCCAAACTCGGAGGATGGAAAGAGGATCAGATCGAGAGATCATCGGGCACATTTGATCCAAAAGGACTTACGTTTGGCTATTAAGTTGGTGGAGTTGAACAAAGCCAATGCCCAGTTGTCCAAGGCCATTTTGATGACCCACTTGTTAATCGCACAGGATGAAGTGCACAAGAAATTGGGACCCAACGGCAACATTTCACGATTGACCCCCAACACTTCTGGATCCGACTATAAGGCTACGATAGATAGCACATCCATTGAAATAAGTAACGATGGTATTACCACTACTATTAATAAGAATCCTTCGGCGTGGGAACCATTTGTAGACGAATTTTTCAATGCCATGGACTTGTTGACAGCAATTTGCATTTCCACAGGAGACCTTGCTATGGCATCCAAGGTAAAGATATCCATGACTGAATGGATGCTTCTTGCTGATGTCGAGCCGCATAAAGTGTTGTTATCGCAATGCAACTTGGCATCATTGCTTTATTTACAAGCAGAGGAGTACGAATCGAAGGAAGTCGCCTCTAGGAGAAAATTCTTTGAAGATTCCGGTCTCAACTTTGACGACTATAGGAATTCTTCCCAAGAAACCTTAAAAGATAGCGACGTATTGGAAAAGTTGGATAAAGAAATAGAGGAAAAACAACGTAATGAGTATCTGCTGGTAATCCAAAATAAGGAAAAGTGCATAGAATTATCTATAAAGTCTTACGAGTCGGTTCTCGAGTTTGCTAAAAATCTTCCTCAAGAAATAATATCCAATAATAACACCATCAATGAGACTGTGGCGTTGGCAACGTATGGATTAGGAGTAGTTAATTTACACTTAGCACAATATGAAAAGGCTGAGAGGTTGTTACGTGAAGCGAGGGTCAGATCCAAGACCTGTGGTTATGATGATTTAATTCTTGAAATTGAAAGAGAATTATCCAAGTTATTCAAAGAAAAAAAGCTGCTTGAAAAGGGAAAGAGAGCCAATAAAGGGGATATCGAAATGGACATACATATGAAAAAATAAACTAAATATCAATTTATATCATAGTATTTTTTATATTAGACATTGTACATAAAATGCTGCGAATAAAGATCTTATTCTTGATTTCACCATCTTAATCTAGGACTAAGCTAAGAATATTCCATATTACTGGTCTAATCAAAGTACTGAGGTAAACTAAATGTAGTTATTAATAGTTTTTATTTGTTCTTAAATGTTACAATATTTACAATTAAATGCAATTAATATACTCATATAGATTAAAATACCTTAGGTTAATCTTACATATAGAACCTAAATTATTTTTCTTCTGGTCTTTATCAGTTATCTCTACCTTTGTTAAACCTTGCAAATATGATATTAGGCTATTTAAGATATAATTCACACTTCATCAAGACCAAATACATATCTCAAGCCGCTGACATCATCTTCCATACTTTTCTGAGTATTCCATTCATTAATGGTGACGGAAAATGCAAAATCAATAATATACACTTTTCCGTCCTTTGCACAAAGTATATTTTCTGCCTTTATATCCCCGTGTATAATTCCATGCTTGTGAATCACNTCCAACTGTTCCTTNGCCTTTCGGTACAACTCAATGTTTTTGTTATCTAGNGGTATGGTTTCTATATANTGAAACAAATTGAAATACCCTTTGGTGAGATAGTATCCATCNAGGCGGACCTTCATGTATCCNCTCTTGTGGGGTATATAGCAGCTGTTGAATTCCGGATCTCTCGATAANACNNGNTACATCCATCTTTCGTTATTATANGCCTTAAGACANAATTNTAATAANTCTTTCTTGCTGTATTTAAACTTNCCNTGTTCGTTATTNGCCNTNCGGGGGTCGTAGAACTTTGCAACAAGCTTTTCAGTCCCCTCAACATGACGGAGCAAATACTTCTTCATGTAGCGGGCATCAATTGCAACAAGCTGCGAATTATAAATATTACCATTCTGCATAGTTACATGGTCATTGGCTGTGAATTCGAGAAGAGATTCTTCTTCCAATTCTTCGTCTTCTTCATCACGAGACACCAATGTTGTCGATGATTGCGTACCAGCTGTACCAGCTGTACTTGGTCTACTACCGAACGATCTATCTGATCTTTCAGAACTGTACTCCAGGATCTCGGCTTGCTCCTCATCCTGTTCTGGAGTAGCCCATAAATATTCTCTCAATTTGAGCATTCTTTCCTGCCTAATCTTTTCTGTCCCATCATCAACAAAAGCAGTGTAGAAAAAATGCATTAGTGCTTCTCGTAACGTAGGCGCTGCCGAATGACAGTCCAATACTTTATATCTAAAGGGCACAGTCTTGTGCTTGTGAAAATCTGCTTTACCTTTGAGTTCATCTATGTTTCTTTCGAAACAATCTAAGTCAATCTCCACAAATATAGCAATATACGAATCTGTAATGATACCCATATTTGTTTTGAAATAAACCATCTGGGTGATCGCTTGTTTCATGAATTTATTGATATTATGTTGGTTAAAAATATTGGCTCCAATCGTTGAGGTATTCCGCCCTACGTAACCTGGTAGTATTGGGAACATCTTAACTTCGATAGTACAAAATACTTGCCCATTTTTGATAAGATGTATGTCTGATTGTACCCTCGATGGTACACCATTCAGGTCCTTTACACTCTTGATATCTAGCTTAAGTTCCATGCTCAAACCAAAGGTTATCACCAAGAACAAAAATATAGGTTGAACTAAGTAGTGATTAAACACGAATTTGTAGTCATTCTCCAACTCGTCACTTCGATTAATTAGTTGGTAATACTTGAAGGCAAACGGTGTGAGACCATTAATTAGCTTTTCATTAGGTGACAATCTTAGTATGTTCCGTATTGTACGCGCTATCTCTCCATCGTCAATTCTGTTTATATAGTTATCATCGAATTTAAATGGGGAAAGGCTCATGGAAAATTGACTTTCAGATCCAGTACTTTTACTAAGTGCACTGCTATTATTAACAATCTCGTACTCGCACATGGGAAGTGCTAACAAGAAGCGGAGGAATTTCTTACTAAATTCTTGATCACCGCGTTTTGTCAATATTTGAAGATCCAGATATTCTGTAGCAGGTAACCCACCCTCTATGAATGTTTCTAGACTGGATTCATCAATTCTAAATAAGTCCTGAATGATTGTTTTGTAATCCACCATTGGTCCATTCCACGAGGGGAAAAAATCATGATAGTCATAAGTATCTGTAACTTCTCTATCAATACATTTTTCAGCTGCTTGATATAATGNGTGTTGCGATAAAAAATTCTTGATAAGGGTATTTGATTCGCTCATTTAGTCTAATTAGTTTATTATTAAGTCTCAGAAACAGGCGAATGCTGTACTCTTGAAAGGAATCTAAACCCCTTTTATGCTTTCCGTGTGCTGCAATATCAGAAATGTGGTATGCTAGTTGCATCATACTTGTTTCACCTCTTTCAGATTCAATTCGTAAGCTTATAGACTGAAACTTCTTGAAACCAACAGAATAATATACTCGTTACCTGTGCAAGAGAAGCGCCCATCCATTCTAGTATACATTCATATAGAATTTTATAAACAGTTCAACTCGTAAGACTTGATTCTAAAATTTTGTATGTTATTTTCTTCATAGCTAAGTGTCAATCGCGTATTGTAAACAGCTAGATTTACGCATATTAGGCCTGCAAGCCATCTAATTCAGTTCTTTTTCATGTCTTCGACAATAAAGAGAAAAGAAATTAGAAGTGATGCGGAATTAGTACTTCAGTAGAGTGTAGTGAACAGGCATAAACGTTAGATATGGATGTCGATAACGGATTAAAGTTCCGCATATTCTATTTCTTAGAATAATTCTCAAGTTTGGACCACTCTAAAAGTACAATTTGTAGCTCCATGTCTAAAGTGATTACTCCTTTATTTATTACCTTTGAGGTTCATAGGACGTCTTCCCCTTAGTTTTGCAATCGTAGGTGTAATTGCAAAACATTGTATACAATTTTTGTGCTCAACAAACTTTCGAAATACAAGTATTTACTTATTTTTTATCAATTAAACGCTGCTTGAAAAGGGAAAGGAAGCTAATAAAGGGGACATCAAATGGACATACATATGAAGAAATAGATTTCATACCAATTTATATTATAATACTTTTTTATACACTAGAGTATAGTATGTAAATGCTGCGAAATTTTATGTCCTGAATGCTTGATTACACCATCTTAACCTTAAACTAAGCTAAGGATTTTTCTATGGCTGTAATATTGCTGGTCTGATCAAATTACTGAGGTAAACTATATATTGTTACTTATTAAAATTTTTTTTTGTTCTTAAATCTTACAACTTTTACAATTAAATACGATTAATGTGATTTAAGAAATTTTTGCAATCTATATATGCTCATATTAAGAACTCGTAAGGTTGTTTAATATACCGTGACGAACTTTAATTAAAAAATTAAGACAATTCAAGAACCCCAGACTCTACAGTAACATAATATTTTGATAAGTAAACATCCTCCTACATAATCTTTAAAAAATTAGAATTCGCCAATACTTGAACTATGTTTAAAACATTGATATACAAATTAATATTAGACAACTATATCTTGATCTCTACCAGATAGATGATTTAATAGTATAAGAACTATGTATATTCTTTGAAAGGAATTTTGACCAGTATAACAATTATCTTTACAGTACCTTTATATTATACTGGTCTTAGAGAACTTAGCTTAATTTTCTTTTCGTCTTCATCAACTACTTCAATTCAAATAGTTTACAATTTTCTATTCTCTTTCTCTAGACACATAGTCTACTTGTACTTCAATTGTTACAACTTTTCTTCACATTGACTACTGGAGGATCTTCAGTTCTTAAACCTTGCAAATATGATATTAGGCTATTTTAAATATATAATTCACACTTCATCAAGACCAAATACATATCTCAATTCGCTGATATCGGTTTCCATACTATTCTGAATATTCCATTCATTCTTGGTGACGGAAAATGCAAAATCAATAATATACACTTTTCCGTCCTTTGCACAAAGTATATTTTCTGCCTTT